AGTTGTTATACATTTATGCCTTGAAAAAAAAACGTGTTGAACTGTATAGCATATTCATACATCAGCATAGGAAATGTTTTACAACATTTTGTATCATGTCATAACTTTTATATAATTTTTTTCATAATTCTTTTATAAAAACTGCAAAAACTTAGTTCCATGTGAATCACGGCTCCTGGATTTTGGAAGTTAGACCATTTCAGGTACCTTGGTTCAAAAAGTTTTGTCCTATAGTGCACTGTTTCACCCTATTACAGGTTAAAGAAATAAAGAGTTTTAGTAACATACAGATGGATTTGCAACACCTTTATTTTCTCATGTTTTAAGGCTGCCTGTGCAACCAAATTTGCATCTATTACTCTCACACCAATAACCCTATAATATAATCTTGGTATTTTTTTACATATCACCATGCAAAAGTTAGTAGGTATTGACTGATAGCTAAAATCAATTATATTTTAACATAACTCCTTCCTATAACTTGTTCTTATGACTTTTGCTACCTAGTTTTATAGCTACTTTATTTTTCTCACTTTGAAGATAGCTCAATAGGTTTTGAATTTGTTTATAATTCCTCACTTTTCAACTTTGCAGTCAAGAGTTTCAAATAACAGTGAGGCATGGTCTGATTTTTTTTAGCACAGTTGTAAATCTCTGCTAATCAGTTTGTTATTTCAAGCTGTCTATCAAGATACAGTATTCATTATAATTGGCAAATTTGGAAATAAAAAATCCAGCTCTAAGTTTTCTGAAAGCCTAATACATTATTTACTTCTTTATTAATGTAGATAACATGATTATGGTGTGAGTCTAAATAATTCAGTATTCAATGTAATGCAAATTGTAAATGATATCGGGACATTTAATGCAACTCAGTTTCTCAGTCAATGTGAAACTAGCACATGAATAATTGAGGTTAACACAGGTACAGTTGCATTTAGACACTAATTTTGTGTGTGGAAAAAGGAGAAACGGATGACTTAGTCCTTGGAAAATGGTACTATGTCATAGAAAGTAAATATATATTTTGAGCTGCAGAGCTCAAAAAGCAAAAAAAATTAGGAATGTTGACCCTAACCTCAATTGAAATATGCAAGTAAGGTGTGGATAAAACATTCTGCGTCTATCAGAATACGTATGAAGATTTAAAGAAAAACTACAGTTTATTCTACTAAAATATTTTGAGAGACAAAGATGTATTTGTCTGTAAGCTTTTAGAAATGATATTTAGAATTCTTAGTTTTTATTTTGCTTTCTGTAATTGTTCAATGACTTTGCTATCCATCCATTTAAATTTAATTCTTTTTATTCTTTATTATATCTAATATAAAATGAATGTTTAAATATTTTTCCTCTTCCATCAAACTGGAATCAGTTACCATATTTTCCACAGAAAATGAAACTTTAAATAATGTGAATAATCCTATTTTGTGGGATTCATTCACTAATTCAGATCTACTTGTAGTAATTATAGGCAGTTCTGCTTCTCATTGCCTTTAATAATTTTTCTCTTCCCTCTGTGTGTGTGTATTTCTTGTATTCCTTCTCAGGACTAGTTAGTCCTTGACTTACGACTATAATTAAGTCCAAAATCTCTCTTGCTAAGTGAGACATTTGTTAAATGAGTTTTGTTCCATTTTACCTTTCTTGTCACAGTTGTTAAATGATCAATGCAGTTGTTAAGTTGCTAATATGGCTGTTAAGTGAATATGGCTTCTCCATTGACTTTGCTTGTCAGGTCACAAAAGGTGACATTACCTTGGGACACTGGGACCATTATAAATGAGTCAGTTGCCATGTGTTTGAACTTTGATCGTGTGACCACGTGGATATTGCAAGGATCATGTGAAAAACAGTCATAAGTCCCTTTTTTCACTGCTGTTTTAACTTTGAAGTCATTAAATGAAATGTTGTAAGTCGAGAACTACCTGCACATGCATCTGAAGTGGACTGTGGCCTACGAAAGCTTATTCAATAATCGTACAATAAATCTATAGGTTTATGGAGAACACAAGAATGTGGGATACCATGCTGAGGGAGGAGTGTACGTCGCTACGAAATGGTCACCTGATCTCAATGCTCCGAGATCGCCGCCAATACTTTTTTCGCTGGGTGGTTCAATCGGACCTAAACCATCCCATAGAGATGGTGAACAGGAAGATTACATTCTGCTGATCACAGGGACATCGCAAAGTCCCTGATTGATGCAGGAGAAGATCTTTCAGCTGGCGTTAAAAGCTCAGCCCCCAGGCTGATGAAGTAGGGACGACTCCAAAACAGAAGGAAACAGAAGATAAAGTGTTTACAGCTGGTGAGGAATTTTTATCCATTTTAAAAGAGCCTGCCTATAAAAAACTTGAAGCTAATTTAAATCTAAGAATAAAAGAAATAAGCGGTGGAATTAAGCTTTGGATGGTTTTGGTCAGTGTGTTATCTTAATTTTTAAATGTTATTTTCATGGATGGAATTTATGCAAACCGTTTGAAATGAGTGGATCAAGTTTTCTTCTAAAAATTTTACTATTACTTTCACAACCTATGGACTAAACTTCTTATTCATCACTACATGTGTCTTTTACTCTT